TCTCCCCTTCCTTTCTTTCCGGCTCCCGCCAGAGGGGCCGCCGGGGGAGCCGCCGCCGCCGCCTCCCGCCAGCGGGCCCCGCGGGCCAGGTCGGCACTGCGTCTGATTGATCCGCTTTTTCCTGGAGAGAGCTGCTGGGCTGCGCTCGGGCCGCCAGCACCTGCCCGCGCCGGGCCGGCTTCTTCCCTCTCGCACGCTGCAGCCAAGGCCCCCATGCTCCGCGCCCCCGCCGGCCCCCGGTGGCCGCCGCTCCTGCTGCTGCTGCTGCTACCGCTGCCGCCTCAGCTCGCCCGGGGCGCCCCGGCCCGGACCGCAGCTGGGGGTCAGGCCGCGGAGCTGGTGGTGCCCACGCGGTTGCCGGGCAGCGCCGGCGAGCTCGCGCTCCACCTGTCCGCCTTCGGCAAGGGCTTCGTGCTGCGCCTGGCGCCCGACGACAGCTTCCTGGCGCCCGAATTCAAGATCGAGCGTCTCGGGGGCTCTGGCCGGGCGGCCGGGGGCGAGCGGGAGTTGCGCGGCTGCTTCTTCTCGGGCACTGTGAATGGGGAGCCCGAGTCGCTGGCGGCCGTCAGCCTGTGCCGCGGGCTGAGCGGCTCTTTCCTCCTGGACGGCGAGGAATTCACCATCCAGCCGCAGGGCGCTGGGGGCTCCCTGAGTCAGCCTCACCGCCTGCAGCGCTGGGGCTCCGGCGGGGACCTCGGGGCCTCCGGGCTCGCCTCTGAAGCCCGACCCCTTCCTCGAGGACCCGAGTGGGAGATGGAGACAGGAGAGGGTCAGGGACAGGAGAGAGGAGACGATCAGGGCGAGAAGAAAGAGGAGGAGGAGGAGGAGGAAGAGAGCGAAGAAGAGGCAGAAGGCGCCAGCGAGCTGCCACCACCCCTGGGGGCCACGAGCAGGACCAAGCGGTTTGTTTCTGAGGCTCGCTTCGTGGAAACGCTGCTGGTGGCCGATGCGTCCATGGCTGCCTTCTATGGGGCCGACCTGCAGGTAGGACCCCAGACTTCCCCTGGTCGCCTTCCCTGGAGGCCCCCAGACGCCTCCCAGCGTCTCCAAATTCTTCCCTTCCCAAACCCTCTGAGAACAACCCTTCCGGATCCTCATCCTCCCAAGAGCGACCCCGCGCGAGACGCTCACCTTTCTCAGAAAGAGCAGTTAGCTGGCTTCCTCCTCCCTACCCCACCCTAGCCCCGCCAGTCTGAACTGGAGGTGTGACTCTGGTCCCTCCCATCCTGAATCTCCTGCAGCGCGTGGCTGACTGAACGCCCCGAGGCACCTGCCTCTCCGGGCAGAGATGTGGCTGAGCGTTTAGAAAGATCACCCACCCTACTTTCTCAGCCCTCTACTGTGTCCAGATCTGAGGGGCTTTTGAGGAGAGGCAGATGGGGTGGAAAGAGGTGGCTGTTTGATTCCCTTTGGGTTGCCATAAGTAAAAGACATTGTTTGGAGGGGGAACCTGGACAGGGGCTGCCCGACTTCTGTGCGCCCAGCTGGTTCTGATCAAGGGGCACGGACTACCTTGCCAACCTGGCTCTCAGCCCCGGCAGAACTTGGCAGTGCCAACATCCAGCACAAAAAAGGAGGGGAACAGAATTTCTGCCTGGGGGCTCAGCCCAGAAAACTGAAGCTTCAGTGGAAAAGGAAGGGAAGGGGGGCTGAGATGCGCCCCTTAAGTCTGAGTTTCTGAGGGAGCCAGGACCATACGTGGTCCGCCCAGCTGCCCCCATCCCAGACACAGCTCTCAACTGAGCTGGAAGGAAAAACCAAATGGGGGGGTAGCCAGATTGTTGCTAACTTGATGCAAAAGTGGTACTGACTCAGCAGAAGTGTCTGTGTCACCCTGAACCCCAAAACTTCCCCCAAAACCAGATGATGAAGGTCTTCCCAGGAAGAAAGGAGATAAGGGTTCCAGGAGAGGAGGACACTTTCTCTAGTCCTAGGGAGCATCGAACCAGAAATGTGCCAGGGAGAGAAGAACTGACCTCCCGGGAGGTCACAGTTCCCTGAAACGGGGATCCTGGCACCACAGCTGCTCAGTTAACACCTTTGCAGTGATGGCAATCTTGGCTGGGGACCCCATTCTGTGCTCTACTCAGGCCCTACTGTTGGGCAACAGGGCATCAGCATCACCTGTGCAGAAGAGTCCAGACAAGGAGTCAGTCTTCCACTTCTCACCTGATTTTCCCCCCTTGCTAGCACTGGCAATGGCAGAGTGGGAGAGATAGTGGGGAGCAGACGGGCAGCATGGAAGCACTGCTGGTGAGAGGTCCGTGTGGCTGCCCCGGCCACCCCAGGCAGGCTCCCAGCATGCTCTCCTGGCATGCACGCCCCTCAGAGCACTGCAGGGCAGCTCGGAGCCACCAAGGCGGCCTGCCCCTTGAGCTTTGGGTCAATACTCATTTAATATCTCTTTCCTTGCCTTCCTTGAGACTTCTTCCCCCAGTCCTACTCAGGATAGTGGCAAGAATGGGGTGAGAAGAGGGATCTCCCATCCCTTTAGAACCCCCTGATTTCTAGATGGATCCACCATTAAGAGGCTGAGACAGTTTCACTATGAACCCACAGCTAGGATGCTGTACCCCTCCCTCCATGGATTCCCCACTATAGACCAATTCCTGACATCTGCCTGAAAATCAAAACCTAGGAGCACCAACAGGAACTGGAGGACACAGCAGACCCACAGTGTCCTCCTTAACATCATCCTCTGGTCTCACTCTCAGGTCATCACCTAGACACTGCAGGCGCTGGGTTTGGCCTCAAGGACATACTTGGCATCCACAGACATCACAGCTGCCTAGAAGCAGTATGCTTTGGTGCCAGGCTGCAGGGGCTGGAGCAGGAGGCTCGGCTGCATTGTGTACCAAGTTTTGTTCCCTTCAACTTGAGATCCAGGTTTTCTGCCACAGAAAAGTCAGAGAGCAGCTGTTGCAGGGAGCCACTGGAGCATTCCATCCTCCTGAGCAGCCTGGCTCATTCTTGCCTCACCCTACCCCACATACATGTGTTTCTGGACCATTCACAGCCACATACAGGTACCTCACACCCAGCTAGCCAACTTGGACCAGGAGTGTGCACTTGGACCAGCTGTAAAGGCTGAGTGCTTCGCCCTGGATGTGAGGGAGGGAGAAGGGTGGTGGCCCACTTCTAGGTCTCATACCTAAAAGGAAAGTCTTCCCTCAGTGGGACCAGCCTCACCACCTCCACCTTAGCTCATGATGTCCCAGCCCACCCTGGCTGCCACCATGCTGGGGTGCACAGCTGTTTCAATGCCACCCACTGGCCCCTCTGCTCTGGTCAGCTCCAGAGATTCCACGAGACAGGCTTGGCCTCCACTCAATCCCCTGGGCTTCCTAAAATGGACCATGAGCTCAGCTGAGAGAAGAGTCAAAATCAAGTCCTGGTACCCCAAGATCTTACCTGTCGAGACCCACCTCCCCCAGTGGGAGCCAGTTCTTTATCTAATAGTCGAAGGAGTCTCAGGAGACTTCATTCACACATATGGAAGGCACTTGGGGGGGGTCTTAGTAATGGGGGTACGTGAAGATGATAAAAAGAGCCTTTGCCCTCTCTAGGGCTTAGATCCTCATCTGAGACAAGATGCCGGGACTAGGAAACCAGTTCTAGTCTAAGCTTCCATGAGGCTGCTTCACAATGAGCCAGTCTCCTGGAAGGTTCAGCCACTCTCTGAACATGTGCTCAGTGGTTTACAGGAGTCATCTCAGTGGAAATACCTGTGAGCGGAGCAGAGGAAGAATCCACAGCTCACAAGGATACGTAGCTCCCTCAAGGTCACACAACTCCTAAGTGGCAGGGCTGCAGCTGGAGTTTCCACTGTTTGTTACCTTACCATGATGCCTCTTTCTCAGACGAAGGCCTGGACTCTCTGTCTACGCTGAAGTGAGAGTAGGTCCTCAAATCCAGCAGTCCAAAGACATCCAGGCAAAGTGTGAGGTCACATATATCCTAAGAAGAAACCACCTTCAAGGGTAAGGGAAAGAATTAGCCACTCCTGAGGCCAATCTCAGTGCTAAGTGACAGTGAAGTTTTCCAGAACTCTGAGCAATTGAGTTCACTTAATCCCTTGACAGAAGGGGCCCCTGCCTCCCACCTTCTTATCTGGCTTCAGAGTTAAGGAGCTCAGACAAAGGGAGCTTTCTGAAAAGAGGGACCACCTCGGAAGAGTCCATTAACTCTGTCTACATCCGGCTGCAACTAACTGTGCCCTGGATGAACTGAAACAGGAGCAGGGTGAGCAGTACCCACCAGATTTCAGTCTGGGAAATCTCTCCCACCAGCATTCAGCAGTGAGCGGAGCTTCTGAATTCTCTTCTTAGCAGAGAGGTTCCTGAGAGTGGCACTCCTCTTCCCCAAGGCAGGCCAGAGCATTTCCAGGAGGCTGGACTTGACAGGCTGATTTCAAGAAAAGGCTGTCACAGTCAAGGCTGTCTTGACTCCCCCATACCTATGTCCTCTCGAAAAAAGAGTCTAAGTAGTAAAGTGACTGTATAGGCTAGTTTGCCCAGCACTGTCCCCGTCTGTGCCTGTCCTCCCATGATTATCACAGTTCCATCTTTCACTCCCAAGGTTTGAATGGTAACAGAAACTCATGCCTGCCCACCAGCTCTGCAGCTATCTGCGTCTTCACGGGGGAAAGACAAGTGCTGTTCATGCCTGAAATGAGTCTTTGTCATCCCTTGTGTCTGCTGCTGTCAGAGTGATCAAGGATATGGAATATTTCCCCCCAAAATGTCTCGGCATCCAAAGGTCACCACTTGCCCGTGCCCCAGGGGCAGGGTGTGTACAGCCAGTGACAGGCGGGCTTGCTGGCCAGCTTGCTTGCTTTGCGTTTGTTTTGGCTGGACTGTAGTTTTCCTTACGGCGGCAAGGATGGGTGGCAGTGAGTTTGAAGACCAAGAACACAGACTTTGGAGCAAAATAGAAATAACCGAGGGCCCTTGAGCAAGGCATCTATTTCCTTGTACCTTGATTTCTTCGCCAGCAACATAGGAGTAGTTACACTGAGGTCCTGGAGTGGTCTTGAGGATGCAACAAAATACGGACGCCCCTGACCTGGTACCCAGCAGGTGCTCAACAAAGCAGAGCTGTTACTTGCATTGCCTTTGGTGATGGAAATCATTTTTCAGAGTGGAGAGACAAGATGGCCAAACTTTATTGGGGTGCCAGGCACTGCTGCTTCAGCCTCGCTGTCACACATGACAGCTTGCCCTGCCTCTGAGTGAAGGGAGTTTTGGTCAACTGTGAGCTTTGGGCGGGTGACACCACCCTTGGCTGTTTGGAGAACAAGAGGACCTGGAGGATGTCTGTGCAGTCCCTCTCCTGTCTCCCCCACTTTCCTTCTTCCTTTGCTCCTTCCCCACCCCCAGCACAGCCTCCTGCAGCCCGGCAGGGGCTGCAGGAGGGAAGAGGCCTGTACCAGGTATGGAGGTGGGAGGTTTCCCTGTGGCCACTCTTCTTCTCCTGGCCTTCCTGGGGGGAGTTGCCAGGGGCAGGGTAGGACCTACAGTGTGAAGCGTAAGGGGTGATGTTCTGGGTGGGAGAACCGTTGCCTGTGGCCTGGCCTTTCACTAGACTCCCACCAAAGTTGGCTGTGGATGCCACCGGGGTCTGACAGAGGAATCTCCTTGCTTATAAATGCTAGAGAACCCAAGAGGGCCATGTCCAGCTAGCTGGCCGGGGTCTTCTCCTCTATTCCAGGTCTGGGGGGCACCACTGGAAGAGGAGATGCCCTTAAAAATTCTTCCTCTCCCTAATGAGAGTTAAGGGCTTGAGCTCCCCAAGTCATCCAACAGCAAGGTGGCTTGGCCACCTAGACAGACTCATCATAGGCTCCCACCTACCTGACAAGGCTTTTAGAGGTCACCTGCTGCGCTGGAGCCCCAGCCTTGGGATGCAGGATCCTGCAAGCAGCCTGTGCCGGTGTGGTGAGCAGGGAGGTATAAATAGACAGCAGGTGGTGGAGCGAGCCTTCTGACCTTCTCCTTGACCAGCTCTGGGCCTGTTCCCCATGGGACTGTACGTCAGGCCTGCCCTTTGGGCCCAAGGGACTGGTGATGAAGCAGAGGCTCTTAGTCCCTAAGGAACCGTGAGATGAGCTGTGAATGTAGGATGTTGCTGCCAGTGTTTCTCAGAAGAGCTAACTGGGAGGGAGGGTGGTAGGACCCCAGCTGGTGTCCCCAAAAGCTCAGGGAGACAGTGATGTGGAGAGGGTAGAGGGACCAGGAGTTGGGATTTGGGAAGGAACACTGGACCACGCACAGAATCCTCGCAGCCCTCTGGGAGTGAAAGTGACCCTCTGAGACAGTGAGATTCAGACCACAGCTTCCGATCCTGCTCAGCCTCAGTCTGACCCACTCCACTCGGCACGCAGACCCGTCCCAGACCTTAAGTCTCCCATTCCTAGTGCTCAGCCGCCTGGTCCCAACCCTCAGCAGCCGGCATCTCTTGGCTTTACACCTTCTTTGTAAGACTCCGTCTTGCCCAGTTTTCAGAGAATAAAATTGGGACTCAACAGGAATAAATCTTGTGAGGACAAGGTTGCCTTGGAAGAAATCCCATGGATTGGTCCCCAGACCATCAGATCATGGCCTTTCCTAAAGAGACCCGGAGACTTTCTGCCTCCTGGAAGCAGCAGAGACCTGGCCAGGAATTGGCCTCAGCAAGCTGCCATTCTTCAGCGCTCAGTCTGGTTGCATAATGATGTGATTGCTTTTTTCCCTCCGGAATCCAACTCCAGGAGCAAGTGCCAAGTTTCAGCTTGCTGATAAGATGTTTACATCAGCCTAAACATAGCCAGAGTGTTTGACATGCTCAGTAACCTGCCTGCCCCTGTCTGCGGGGCTAACAAAATACCTGGCTTGTTGCCTGCGAGGTGAACAGACAGATCCCATTCACAAATAATGGGATTCATCTGGAACTCCCACACATGGCCTCACCCGATGGAATGTCCCTCTCCAGCCGTTCCCTTCCACTCCCACCTTCCAGACGGCAGGAAGAGAAAAGAGAGAGGCTCCCGAGAGCTGGGGCTCCAGAGAGGCAGGGCAAGCAAGAGGAGCTCAGCTGGCCATGCTGGGGCACAAGACATACCTGCGTCTCCCCTTCCCCCTCCCCTTCTGCAAAATAACCCAACAGTACCTCATGGAGGGGCCTCTGAAGCAGGAAAGTAAGTGCCCACCTGGCCTCGCCTAGCCTTGGACTCCCTCAGGGGAGCAGCTGGCTGCCCAGAGACAGGAAGGAGGTTGAGCAATGGTGGAGGCTGTGTCGGCTGGCTGGGCAAAACAGAAGGCAGCAGCCTAAGCTCTCAGGTCTCTGTGTGACTTCTCAAGCCCCATGCAGAAGGGAAGGGACCCATTTGGGCTGTCCGGACAGAAAGTAGGAAATGGAGCCCTGGGGAACTTAACGTGAATAGCAAGGACTTCAGAAACAGGCTGGCATCCTGGCTGTAATAGCTGTGTGACCTTCAACAAGTTATTTGATTTGTGTGACCCTCGACATCCTCATTCAGGAAATGGGAATTACAATACCTACCTCACAGCGTCCACGTGAGAGTTTAACAAGGTGACATGTGCACTGCGTGCCAGTGACAGTGCACAGTAGCCACTACTGTGAGGAGAGAGACTTCAGAGCAAAGTTTTCAGGCTTAGTAATTCCCACCCCAACGAATAGAGGTTGTCCCCAGATGGCAGGAGAGTGGCTGGATTCTAAGTGGGAAATTCTGCTGACCTTGAGCGTTCACCTAGTTGCTTCTGGGTCAAGGCCAGTGGTTGGCAGGGACAGTTGGTGTCAAGATAAAGACAGAGTAAGCCGGCAGTCCAATAGAACTTTCCATCTGCAGGCTCCAGTACAGTAGCCACAGCCATATGTGGCTACTGATGTACTTGACATGTCACCAGTGCCACATTGTAACTTTAATTTTAGTGAGTTCTAATTAATTTGGATTTAGATAGTCACATGAAGCTGGTCTGGATGTTAAGTGTACAAGCTTTGGAGCCAGGTAGGTCTGGGTTCAACTGCTTGTTGCACTCACCGATTACTGAGCCTCAGTTGTTTTATGTGGAAAATGAAGAGAAATGTCGCCAAGGCCCCCAGGGTTTTGTGAGTCTTTGGTGAGTGCTATAAATCAGATGCTCAGCCCGGAGCCTGGCACACAGTAAATGCCCAGTGTCAACAGGAGGTGACAGTGGGCAGGCCAAAGCCAGGAGGTCTGAGCCTGCTCTCTGCCCGTGCTCCTTCCCTCCTGACAGAACCACATCCTCACGTTGATGTCCGTGGCGGCCCAAATCTACAAGCATCCCAGCATCAAAAACTCCATCAACCTGATGGTGGTGAAAGTGCTGATAGTCGAGGATGAAAGGTGGGGCCCAGAGGTGTCGGACAACGGGGGGCTTACACTGCGCAACTTCTGCAGCTGGCAGAGGCAATTCAACCAGCCCAGTGACCGCCACCCAGAGCACTACGACACAGCCATCCTGCTCACCAGACAGGTCTGTGCCCGGCTCCGGAAGCCCCGGGGAGGAAGGGAGGCGGGATGGGCGGATCAAAGAGAGGACCACTGGGCCTGCCCAAACATGGGAACTGTCTCCCTGCTGGCCCCAGCTGGACACCAGAAGCCTCATGCTCAGAATGACAGGGAGGAGGTCATGAGGACAAGTGTGAGGTATTTGCAAGGGAAGGAGAAGAATCTCGTAAGGGCTCGTTTCCAAAAGTTTGTGACCAGCTGTCTGCTGAGGTCATACATAACAAGAAGCAGTGGGCTCAAACAGCTTGGCAAGCCATCTGGGACTGAACCAAGGGGTTCTAGCTCAACACAGGGCAGGTAGCTAGGGGGTCCCCTCAAGATTTCCCCACTCCAGGGGGCCGGCATGCTGATCTGGCACAATTTAAATGGACCTCTTCCTGACGGTGAGAGAATGTGACAGCAGATGTCAGGCCCTGTGCACCACTTCCGTCTCACGACAGTCCCACAGACAAGTCCTGGTGTTATCCCCTCTCTGCAGAAGCGGAGTGCAGACGGGCCACCCGGGGCAGCACCCGTGACTGCTAACGGTCCTGCTGTCAGGTCGCACTCTGAGCCACTGTGCCCTGCCTCCCAAAACAAGCCTTTGAAGTCCCAGCCAGCCCTCGGGTGCCACCAGCCGAGACCAAAGAAGGGGCCTCCTCCCATGAGTGGCTCATGTGAAGACGGAGGGAGCCTTCCTGTGCTGTGGCCCTCAGAAATCCATCTTGGTAGCCTGTGGGGCTTTGTTTCTTGTTTTATAAGGAAAGTAAATTTCTTGGGTCACTCTCCAAGTTAGAAAGTCTGAGGATGAGTGACCTGACTTGACCATAAACAAGACAGAAAAGCCCAATAAACCGACCACTCTGGGCTGGAAATCCAGATGCCGGGCCCTGCCAGTGCTCTGCCTCCTGGGAAAGCTGAGTAAATGCTGGTGAGGCACAGACCTCCCTCGGGGACTCGTGTGCACGCCACCCGCTCACACTGATGTGCTCTCACTCTCTCCCCACCACGCAGAACTTCTGCGGGAAGGAGGGGCTGTGTGACACCCTGGGAGTGGCAGACATCGGCACCATCTGTGACCCCAACAAGAGCTGCTCTGTGATTGAGGATGAGGGGCTCCAGGCAGCCCACACCCTGGCCCATGAACTAGGTGAGATTTGCCAAAGCCCCCAGCACCACATCCGAGGGAACAGCCTCTTCCCGAGCCCAGGTGGCCCAGATCTTGAGGAATATGCGGCCCTCACACTTAGCAATTGTCTCCTTGTAATTTTGACAGAGCGATTATGTACATAGAGATACTGTTTTTGAGGCTGTTGCACGTAACTCCACTCCCCTGCAATCATAAAGCCAAAATTCTAAAATCGTGCCTGGACCATCCTCCACGGTCACCTGGAGACAGTGTGCGGGTGGAGTCCGGGTGCTGTACACAGCTGAGCAGAAGGGTTGGGGGAAGATGAATTGTCCACATAGGGGAGTGGATGACAGAGGGAATGTGAGTGCTGGACAGGCTGCGGCAGGGAATACAGGGGGATCGAGGGCTCCTCAGTCATGAGACAGCCTCCTGGAGGAGAGAAGCCCGGGGAAGCCAGAAACGAATGTCTCCAGAGAATAAGGGGGTGGCCATTCCCACAAGAAGCTGGTGACTTCCCAGCATAGCAGATAACTCCCCTAGCTGTCCCCACTGCTGGGCCAAGTGGGGAGCACACTGGCAGGACAGGCAGGTAAGTGGATGGCGGCCTCTCTGCTCCCCCAGGACATGTTCTCAGCATGCCCCACGACGACTCTAAACCCTGCATGAGGCTCTTTGGACCCATGGGCAAGCACCACATGATGGCACCACTCTTCGTGCACTTGAACAAGACGCTGCCCTGGTCCCCCTGCAGTGCCATGTACCTCACAGAGCTGCTGGACGGCGGGCACGGTAGGCTCCACGTCCTCCCTGCCTGTCCCCTCTAGCTGCACTTTCTCACAGAGCCCTTAGACATGCGTCTAACAGGGGTGCCCACTCGGCCTCCCTTGCTGTGACATTCAAACCAGCCCCCAACATCTAGTCTCCCTTGCCCCATCTTCTGTCAGCCTGAGTTGGGCCAATTTAGATTTATTAGTCACGAAGCGGGTGGAATTAGTCTGAGAAAGGTGCCTGGAGGAAGTGGGTTTGAGCAGAGCCTGCTCAGTGGAAGAACAGAGTACAGAGGAGAGTCCCCCACAGCTCAGAAAGGGCCAACAGGCGGCAAACAAATTGTGGGAAAGAAGTGGGAAGAGCGGTGCCTGGTGGGAGCAGCTGGAGTGCAGCGGAGCAGAGCGTAAAGCGTAAAGCAAGGCTTTTAGCATCTTCTCATTAAAGGAGGCAGAAATACACAAGATGCAAAAATAATAGATTATCCAAACTGCAATATCTGGGTGTTATTTCATACCTTTTTGTGGGGGGGAGGCACGTAGAGTCTTACTGTGTCATCCCAGGCTAGAGTACCATGGCATCATAGGTCTACCATGGCATCGTAGCTCTACCATGGCATCGTAGCTCTACCATGGCATCATAGCTCTACCATGGCATCATAGCTCACAGCAACCTTAAACTCCTGGGCTCAAGCAAGTCTCCTTGCCTCAACATCCCAAGCAGCTGGCACTACAGGCATCTGCCACAACGACTGGTTATTTTTACTTAGTAAAGACAGGGTCTTGCTCTGTCTCAGGCTGGTCTCCAGCTCCTAAGCCCAGGCAATCCCCTGCCTCAGACCTCCCAGAGTGCCAGGATTACAGGCATGAGGCACGATGCCCCGCCAGCATACATCCTTTTTAATAGAATATTTACATCCCCAGTATATTGTGATGTGGATTAGTATCATTAGTTGGCATTCACTGGGCACATGCTGAACGTCAGGGTCAATTCATCCTCCACGTAGCAGAGGAAAGTCCTAGAAAAACTTGGCAACTGATAGTCAAAACTGAAGTAAGCTCTGCATAGATGACTGAGGGTTGCCGAGGGTTTTAAGTGGAGGACAGGGAAGCCGTGACGCCTAGACCTTCAACCCCATAGATTGAGAGTCTATGATTGAGTCATAGATTGAGAGATCTGAGAGGGAGACCCCACCCTCATTCATAATCCTGTGCTTCCTCCCCCTCTCAGGAGACTGTCTCCTAGACGCCCCCACCTCGGCCCTCCCCCTCCCCACAGACCTCCCGGGCCGCAGGGCCCTCTATGAGCTGGACCGACAGTGTGAGCAGATCTTTGGGCCAGGTTTCCGCCATTGCCCCAACACCTCTGCACAGGACATCTGCGCCCAGCTCTGGTGCCACACTGATGGGGCTGAGCCCCTCTGCCACACCAAGAATGGCAGCCTGCCCTGGGCCGACGGCACACCCTGTGGACCTGGACACCTGTGCCTGGAAGGCAGCTGTCTACCTGAGGAGGCCGTGGAGAGGCCCAAGGTGAGAGATGGCCTGTGCGGGGAGGGGGAGGAGAAGAGGAAAGTAGAAGGCAGGAGTCAGAGGGCCGTTTTCAAGGGGGAAGCCACTCTTGAGAGTCAACAACTAAGAGAGTTTGGGCCCAGCTGCAACATAGGACTTCTAAGTAAAATCACCACGTTTAACAAACCAAAGTGTATAAATCCACATGAGTGAGGTGTCCTTGTGCTGTATTCATAGCTGGTGGGATAGAGCTGCGGTTACTCCCCCCGTGGAGGGGCTTTGGGGGTGACTTGAGGTTCCTGCTGATTGGTGAAAGGCATGAAGACAGGTGGCTGGGCACCGAACAGAGCAACTTGGAATAGGAGCACGCCTTCAAGAACTGAGCAGAAAGTATCCACAGCACTCTGTGTTAGAGCTGAATTCATATTGACAGAGGTCAGGGGAATGACAACCATGGCGGGAATTCCATAGCCAAAGAAGAGGAGGGACCAGGAATCAGAGCCACCTCTGACCAGGCAGAGAAAATTGGGCCCAGAGAGAATGACCTTGAAAGAAAAACCAAGGCCATGCCAGTGAGGGTCTTTTTAAATTAGTTTGTTTACTTCATATTAACATGAGAGTGCAAATGTTTAGGTTACACTGTTCTCAATTCTAAGGTAAAGTTCAAGTTGTAGTTGAGCCCAGGGTGGGGGTGGGCGGGGAGCGCTGAACACACTTGCCTTAGGCACATTAGTTGAGATCCAGCTGATTACACTCCCTCCCTCCCCTTCTCCCTTCTCTCTCCTCCCCCTTGCTAGACTGTATTTGTTTTTGCCTTCCTCTGGGCACTTAGTTGTTTATATATTGGTTTCCTATTAGTATTGAGTACATTGGATACTTTTTTTCCATTCTTGAGATACTTTCCTAAGAAGAATGTGTTTCAACTCCATCCGAGTAAACACAAAAGATGAAAAGTCTCCATCTTTTCTTATGGCTGAATAGTACTCCATGGTATACACATGCCACAGTTGGTTAATCCATTCATAGGTTGATGGGCACTTGGGTTGCTTCCACGTCTTGGCCAGGGAGGATTTTTAAGTGGCTGGCGTCTTTGCCCTGCTCTTAATCCCTCCAGACTTCGAGGTTGATCACATTTCTCTGACTGTGAGTCACGGAGCCATCGCTAGGAAACGGCACTGTCGAGCCTCACAGCCTGGGCCAGGCTTAAGCTCTTTAACCAGGACACCCTTGAGAGCCGTCCTCAGTCTTCAGTCCTGAGCCTGGCTGCCTGCTGTGCCTGAGCCATGTCGTTCCCCATGTGACTGAGTGGAGAGGGGGTCGTCCACCCCTCCCCAGAAGCAGAGCTGAGCTAAATGCAGGGAGAGGTTGACATGAAATGAGGAAGGGATGATGTTTCTCGTCTATTTTTAAGGCGAGAAGACAGATCATAAAGAACTCCGCATACACAGAATCACATCTTTTTTTTTTTTTTTTTTTTGAGACACAGTCTCACATGTCACCTTTAGTAGAGTGCCATGGCATCATAGCTCACAGCAACCTCAAACTCTCGGGCTTAAGCAATTCTCTTGCTTCAGCCTCCCAAGCAGCTGGGACTATAGGTGCCTGCCACAGCGCCCAGCTATTTTTTTTGTTGTAGTGGTCATTGTTGTTTAACAGGCCCAAGCTGGTTCAAACCTGCCAGCCCCAGTGTGTGTGGCCAGCGCCCAAGCTGCTGAGCTACAGGTGCCGAGCCAGAATCACATGTACAGAATCTTTGTACAATAAGAGCAGCCCACCTCTGTGATGACATATTCAGAGCAAAAGTATGAAAGGATGTTGGTAAAAATCATGTCAATGGTTTTATCTTGGTAGTGGTGTGTTTAAGAAGTATTAATTTCTTTTTTTGCACGTTCCTATTTTTTTTATAAGAACAAGTATTACTTTTATAATTTTATTTATTTACTTCAGAGACTGACGCTTGTTCTGTCATCCAGGTGAAATGCAGTCACATGATCATTGCAGTGAACTCCTGAGCTCAAGGGAGTCTCCCACCTCAGCCTCTGGAGTAGCTGGGACCACGGGCTTATGTCACCACAACTGGCTAATTTCTTAATTTATTTTTTTGTGGAGACAGCATCTCACTATGTTGCCAGGCTGGTCTGAAACTCCTGGCCTCGAGTGATCCTCCAATCTCAACCTCCCAAAATGCTGAGATTTACAGGCATGAGTTACCACCCTGGTCAATTTTTTTAATTTATAATAATTTTGATTGCTCCATGAAGGGCAAAACTTCGCTCTCATAGCTCAGTTGTAAAATGGAAACCAATTCTATTTTCCAGACATTACCCTGTCACCATAACTGGTAGTTGGCAGACTAGTGGCAACACCTCCCGGTGGTTGCTTTCAGACGAGGCTTCTCTACCTTAGCACCAGAGACACTGGGCTGGATAAGCCTTTACTGTGAGGCCTGTGCATTGCCAGTGACACAGCCTCCCCAGTGTGCTAACCAAAATGTTTCCAGTCATTGCCAAATGTGCCCTGGAGGACACTTAAGAGTCCAGCACAGTGTCTGGTTCCACAAAGCTTATAGCCAAGCAGGCCACACAGTCAGTAGACACGTGATTGGGGCAGTTTGCAGAACCCCTTGCACCAAAATCAGAATAACCAGAGAAGGAGGTCAGGGCCATGGCCACCTGGCTGGACAGACAACTGAAGTCTCCCCAGTGCTCCTGATTCAGTGTGATGTTGTATCTCACAGGCCGTGGTAGATGGAGGCTGGGCCCCGTGGGGACCCTGGGGAGAATGCTCTCGGACCTGTGGAGGAGGAGTGCAGTTTTCACACCGTGAGTGCAAGGACCCTGAGCCTCAGAATGGAGGAAGATACTGCCTGGGGCGGAGAGCCAAGTACCAGTCATGCCACACAGAGGAGTGCCCCCCTGATGGTAACTGCCACTTAGGGCCACACCTACCAGAACAAATGCTGTTGTTGCTGCAACAGATTCCCCAGAGGAGGAGGGGAGGTCTCCCAGGATGCAGGGTTTTGCCGTGATCCAGACTTAAAGGTTCCGCAAGGCATCAAACTTGGGGTCAGCCCTCAGGGACCCAGGACAGCTCTCATTGCATTCAAAGAGCCTGACAAAGTCAACGAGAGAAGTGTTCCAAGACGTGGGGACAGAGGATATCACTCCCAACCAAACTTACTGGGGAAGGGCCTCTGCAGAGCTGCTAGTGTCTAAGATAATTATCCTCCTAGAGGCATCTGAATCTTGGTCTGTGTGCAGAATGGAAGTGTTTTCCAAAGCAAGTGTCGGAGCCAAACCTCCAACGTCTTTCCAGCCAACATTCAGCCCAGGGCTGAGGGAGGCTTTCTGAATCTGATTCCTGTGCACATTCCCTCTGAGGAGAGTTGCCCGTCCTCTCACAGGGTCATGGCAACTGCCTGACAGGGCCATCCCAGGAAGCAATACTACCTCCGCCTCCTCATGAAGTATTCCTATCCCCTAGTCCCTGCTAGAGAGCCACACATTATTAACTCAGAGGCAGCAAGGGGCAGCCCCAAACTGTGAGAGGGAGGCGTTCGAACTTTCCCCCACCATGCCATCCAGCTGCCTTTTGTGCAGCTCCAAGAAGCAGGCATAAAAAGACAAGCAGAGCTCTGAGAGAGACTCAACCAAGGTACAAAGACACGCCGGCACTGGGTTGATGTCTAACAGGGGAATCTGTAGCTTTGCTGTTTTGTAAGACAAGAAGGATTTACAATGGCTTGAGATTCTAGAAATGGTGCCCTGGAATTGTGAGAGCTTGCCTGGCATGAGGGGTGAGACACTCCTGGGGAAAGGGGAGGGAGGGATAATGTAAGGGACAAGGTAGGGACAGGCAGCAGGTGACATCATGGACGAGGTAGGGACGGGCAGCAGGTGACATCATGGACGAGGTAGGGACGGGCAGCAGGTGACATC